AGAGGGGCAGGAAGGTTGATATTTTGGGTCAGGACCCTGCTCCTCTGATGCTGCCTGGCCTGCTGTGTTCCTCCAGCTCCACACCGTGTTGTCCCTGACTCCAGCATCTGCAGTTCCTGCTATCTCTGAGCCAGTTATGGGGGGATACATTTTCTGCTTGCCATTTGTGATGAAATTATTAATTTATCAAGAGATTAGATTTATCATAGAGAACAAATCTTTCTTTTGTGACCACTGCAATGATAAAAACTAAATGAGTAAGGTTACAACTTACCCCTTTATTGTTGTCAAACTGTGACAAGAATTCAAGACAACTCCTGAGCATCGGAGGTTCAATGTTTCAGTTTGTAATTGACTTACATTTGTGCAATTTGAATTAATGGTTAAATGGGTATAAATCTATTGACAATACTTTCATTGTACAAACACGTGAAGTCAAATAGCCTGAGCTGAAATAATGAAAGGTATTGTTTACCACATTAAAATACTAAACAATGTATGAATTCAGTCATACGGTATATGAGAATTAGATAATGCATGACAAATTAAACATCGATCTAATGATAAATCCAAAAGTAACCTCAAACTGGGATGTTAGGAATTTTCCAAAACTAAAGCAACTTGCTGTTTATAAATAAATGAATGCATATGGCAGCAAAACTACAAAGCCATCAGTGAGCATCATATCATTAGTGTTCTGCTTATGAAGATGGATGGCGCCTGGGAGATTTTCTTATTAGCTCACATTACTGGTATTCTTATTCAGAGTTAAAAATATTTGAATTTGACACCACTGAAACTAAAATCTTCCAAAACAATAATACAGTAAATCCTCAGTATCCACGAGTTCAGGGGTCACGAATTCACATCTCCATGCCAAATCGTAAGCAGCAACAAAATTCAACATCTGTCGCAAAACTTATGTATCCACAATTTTTAACCTGTATTTTCAATGGGCTCCATACTCACAAATTTCATCATTCACAGAGGTTCTCAGAAACAGAACCATCACAGAAACAAAGGAACGACTGTATCTTCAACCACTATATTTGTTACAAGATTTAATAAGAAATGTGTATGTACACTTGAATCATTAGTATAACCAAGGGATTAAAATGCCAGATATAACTTTTTATTAAATTCCATCTATTCTCAAGCTGTTCATTACTATTTCTCATGTTTTAATGCTTTCTGACACTCTGCATTTAAAGGATCTTACTGCAATTTGTGTTAAATTTGCTATTATCAAGTTCTGGGCAGTGTGAGGGGGATGAAATCTATTGTGCAGCAAAGCTAGGAAATGTAATTTAGAATTAAGACAAAACATATCTGAACCAAGACCCTTCTGAAGAACTGAAATGTCAGCTTTCCTGCTCCTCTGATGCTGCTTGGTCTGCTGTGTTCATCCAGCTCTACACCTTGTTATCTCAGATTCTCCAGCATCGGCAGTTCCTACTATCTCTAAACCAAGAGTGCTTTTGATAATGTAAATTAGCACACAGAATCTGATAACATTATTTCCTTTTAAGTTTTGAGGTGTACAAGTTTATAAGTGCATCCGGAACGAGGTGTTGAGAACGTATTCTTATAAAAGTTGGAAATGTAGTTTGGATGGAAAGGTGCACTCTACACTCTCATGAATAAATGTTAACAGGCTATATTAATGTAAGTATTAACAAAGCAGGGAGAGGGCACACTACTGCTGCCTTCCAAACTCACGCTTCAGTTCCTGATGTCACCATGACATAACCAGTTTTGTAAATGCTCTCCTCAGAGTAAAGGTGTGATTAAGTTTTTACTCTACAAATTGATTGATTGAACCGTTGGAACATTACTGAATGGAAAAAAAAAATGTCAGGTATATAGAATATATGGTGGAAAGAACAAAAGGATCTGGGGTACAGGCAGCCAGCCAATTACAGGTCTAGTGAAGAAATCTAACTGATTAAGCAGAAATTCACCCACCCCAAGTTCACAGCCTGTCACAACAAAGTTCGACAAGCCTATTAATCACATGGTGTATTTCATTTGTTATTCTTGGTTGTAACTATAGGTTAGTAGTTAACTGAAGATTTGGCTTAATTTCATCTATTATTTTGTATATGATACCCATGCCTTAGTTGGTAGCACTTTTGTCCTGATGTCAGAAGTTCTGAATTCAAGTTCTACTTAAAAGACTTGAAGACAAAAAACCTTGATTACAATTCAGAACAGTACTGAGGGTGTACTACATTGTCAGAGGTGTTGCTTTGTTCTTTTACAGAATCCCTACAGTGAAGAATCAAGCCATTTGGCCCATTGAGTCCACAACGACCCTCTGAACAGCATCTCATCTATACTCACACACACCCCACCTCAACCTACCCTATTCTTATAGCCCTGTAATTCCAATGCCTATTCCACCCAGCCTGCACGTCCCTGAACACTACGGGCAATTTAGCACGGCCAATCCATGTAACCTGCGCGTCCTTGGACGATGGGAGGAAATCGGAGCACACAGAGGAAACCCACACAGACACAGGGAGATTGTGCCAATTCCACGCAGACAGTCACCTGAGGGTGGAGTCAAACCAGGGTCCCTGGCGCTGTGAGGTAGCAGTGCTAACCACTGAGCCACTGTACCACTGATGAGATATCCAACTGAGGCCTCAACTGCACTCCAAATAGGTGTTTAAGAAAATGGTGTATCAAAGAAGAGCAGGGGAATTATAACCAATATTTATTCTTAATCAACATCACAAAAACACATTATTTGGTCATTATTACATTGCTGTTCATGGAAGCTCAATTTGCGCAAATTTGTTGCTGTGTAGGCTACAAATGTAACAATAACTATATTTCAGAATTACTTCATCGACCATAAAATGCATTGGGACATCCTGTAATTGTGAAAGGCACTATGAAAATACAAGTCTTTTATTTCTTTTATGTTCATTCGCCATCTGAATGCAAGTATAATGTAACCAAACATTAAAAATACAAATTCAATTGCTTCAGTTTGTAAATGTACTTAGTACCTGTAATCTTCCTGTGTAAAACGGGGAATTACTGATGGCTGAAGTACAGTAATCTCCACTATCGTGGTATTAAATTTCATTGGTTCTCCATCATCATATGCAACGATTGCCAGCTGAATGAAACAACAGAGAAAAAGAAAGTCAGAAACACTTTACAATTTTATTGAGCTTCCTAAACAAAGTAACAGCGATAGTGAAAAATAAACAAAATTTGTGTAATGCATTACAGGTTTCTTAGTTTCATTACCTTGAAAATTGTACTCGGTTCCTCATTGAGATTCACTCGGGTAAGCACCCGTCCTGTCTCTTCTTCCACTTCAAATATGCTTGCACTGTATGGAAATTCTGTCATATTCACTTTATATCTGACCCTGCTTGCTGGACTCCCCTGTGTTAGAATTAATGTAGAAAAAAGTACAGTGTAAAATAATTAATCCAAAATTCAACTTAAAGTCATATCTTGTTTAGTTCAACAAATTAAAGCTAACTAAGACAAATAAATTCCTCATGTCAGTGGCAAACATCTTCATGAACTGACCCTCATATGACATTTTTATGATCCTGCAGTGTTGAGACTGATTGCTATGTTTGCCTATGTAACAGTGACTGCCTGGCAGAAATAAGTGATTGGTGAGGTGCTTTGGGGGTCCCCTAAGGATATATTAAGAAACCTTACAAATCTAAGTTCCTTCTCTCTACATGCTTTATAGCAATGAACATTCCAATCTAGAATTTATCAAACCTGCACCAATGCATTTCATTAGCTTATGCTGTCAGTTCATCTCAAGTGATGTCATTTTTTTTGTCAGTTAAGAATAAAAGTATCAAATTCAAATTTAAAAAGAAATGGAAATAATAAGGAAGAGATCTTCTTCAGAGATCAGCCTGGCAAAACACTCAGGGAGAATTTCAAGCAAATTTCACCTTGATCCAGGTCAGTTAACAGATTAGAAAAACCTAATAGCTACATTTTCTATCTCATGTACATAACTACATGCAACCCTAAGATGGAACAATATTATTTAAAATCTTATTGTCCAGCGCCTGGTTTGAATATGAATTGGCTAAAATTATCAGAGACACCATAATGTAATCCCGGTATTGTGTAATGCCTGTTCCAATTTAATTATTCGATTCTGCAACTTCTAACAAACAGTCCTTTCTATTCCACAAACAACATGGGGCTAGTTTGAAGCCCTAGAATTGGTGGGAATCGGTCAGGTAGAAAATTGAAAAAAATTAAAGAAATTAAAACGCAATACATCTCAAATCCATCTACTACCAGTTTTAACAGAGGAGGAATGAGGAAGCAAGCAACCAATCCACTTTTGAGAGGAGGCAGGGACCTTTATTAAGTGTTTTATTGATGCTGCATGCCTGAGATTTTTAATCTCTTGCAGCTTTGGCTTTGGCCAGCTGAGCTCACCATCTCTGTAGAAAGCCAGCAGCTCAAGAAAGGTGAAGACGACTGTTTGCAACAGATAAATGACTCTACAGCAGTGGACTAGAAGGCGGAGAGCCTGACTCTGATCCTCCAAATTGCCTTATTAAGCATCCACGGATTTGGACCCCATCTCCCGCCGTTGCCCACTTGAAGATTTTCCATTCTGAAATTCCCTTTGAATCCTCTCCACCTTTGTCTTCCTTGGCTTCTCTGTGAGCCTATCAATGGGAACCCCATGATCTAATCGCTTTCCATTCAACTCTTTTGATACCCAGGTAACCACCTAACAATCTCCTCCATCAGACTCTCTAGCCTGCTGCCTGATGAGCACATGAAAGCACCTATGGTGTGTAGAGGACTGGAGCAGGAGAACTGGCGGATATCCAACCTCCAATTGTTATTATGGTGCGTGTGCGTTCATGGTGGATCAGTGAAAAACAGAATCAGCAGGAGATGATTTGAACTTAACCAAAGCTACTCTGGCTAAAAAAATATTGTATCCATGAGGAATGAAATAGAATTAATGTAGAAAATAGCAAGAGAGCAATGGGACTAACATGGGAAGACGGCATTTGGAGAGATAGCACGAGAGGCCGAGATGAGACGATGCAATCAATTAAGTGTCAAAACAAGGCAGCAACCCATTATTTGTTGCAACATATTATTTTAAAGCAATTGTGCTAAAAAATGAAGAAGTCAAATGAAAAGATTTTAGAAATGCTGTCAGATGAATTATAAGATTACATCAGCCTTGATCCATCGAACATGATGATAATTCATATGTACCTACTCAGTCTAATACTAATGGGCCTGCAACCGTACAAATCTGGACTTAAGGAAGGATCAAATGAAGTGGCCAGTATACAATTGACCATGCCATAGCATGATGATGTGGAGGCTCAGATGGATTGGTGGGACGATCTATGCTGGATTTAAGATGTTGAGAATACTGTCCCAAATTAAGTTGGGGGTGGGAAGGCCTAATGCAGGAATCCCACTCTCAATTAGGCAAATATCAATCATGTTCATTAGCAATCTACAGGACTCCAATGATTCTTGAGTCCACCAAAACTCAATTGTGGCCAAGGAACAAAATGAGGCTGGTGGGGGCCCTCTTGTGGGACAGAGATGGTATCCTACAGGTGCTCCTGAGGTGTGTAATAACGTCTCTGATCAGGCTGATTAGAAAAACAGATTAAAGAAAAAAATTAAGAATGGCAGGGCCCTCACTCAAAGATTGACTAGCAAACCTCATCAGGTTCGCCTGTGGTCTCACAGGGGGAGGGACTGGTCCTTGTTAACAGACACTCAGTGCACAATTGAGGGAGGCTGGCATGGAGTAGGCCTAGGGGCCCATTGAAAGCCATTCCCCTACCTTTACCTCCAATCCCACTTGCTCCCCTCTCTAGTGACCTCCCTTCCTGTGGCCCTTATCCCGCACCACTTACTCATGTCCAGGAATTCAGCAGAGATCCTTGGGCTAAGTGTTCGAATATTACTAGCAGCAGCTACTGTTCGCGGCCTCTGATTGGACAGCAGCAACCAGGGGAGGTAGGAATTCATCCCTCAGTGTCTGTAAGCCAGTGGGTACTGTGACGCTGGACAAATAATTGCAGGGGACTTGCCTATTGTGGAGGCTGCCTCAATGAAATCAATGTTGCAATCCCAATCAGTCCTCCAATCAATCAATTCCTGTCAGCATTCCTATAACACATGAATTCTAAAAAAGTATTTTGTTGCTAAACAGATTCGAACTTCAGAAAGTGTTTCCTTCAATGATTGGGTGCTGAATTATAATAGGCAGATATCTAGATATGTTTAGTTTTTGAATAACGTTCAGTTCATCAAATATAAACTTGTCTTTTACAACTGAAGAGAAAATAGTTTCCAGTTAGACCCTCAATATTCCATGACTATAAACAAATCAAGGCTAAACATTTGATAGAGCTTGTGTTTATATTTCTAGGCATTTTCTACACTTGGACAGCTTTACATACCTTTTTACAGAACTCATTCTTTTATGAACGGATAACTAGAAGTTCAGTATTTGAGGAAGCAATAAAAATGCTAAATTGACTGCAAAAGTTTTCTGTTTTGCCCTCCAACTGCTCACTACTGCAATTTTATGTTAGTGGAACTAACAGTCCGACTGAGGGTGAATTGAGGCATTTGTGAATGCAATTAGTGCCCATTTAAAGGGCTTACGCTGTCACCATGCTGACGTAAAATGCAATGTGAGAAGATTCTGCACAAAATGAAGGTTTGACCTCGCAGACTGCAAGCAAAAGTGACAGTAGTTGGGGAGTTTTAACCTCTCCAGACCTTTAAATTTAAGCCTCCACCCCGCTCAGGAGTTTCTCTCCTAAATCATACCCATCCTCTCCCCAACCTTACCCTGTCAATATGACCCCACAATCCCCTCGCTGGTGTTAGGATGATGAGCCTGTTGAGATTCTGGTCTATTTGGTCGGTCCAGGTCCATTGTAGAATGCCTCCTCAATGTCATTTGCACAGTACTAAGACTGCCGACCTCAGATTGATGGAGAGCATGATGAGCTGAGGACAGCTCCTCAAGAGGGGTAGAAGGCTCACCTCTTAGCAATTAGAGGTCCATAGGCCCAGAAATAGCACTAGAACATGTCAACTAACCAGATGTGGGCTCACCCCCATAGTTTACTTTAGGGTACTAAACCACCACTTCACAATTCAAACGACACTCTACTGAAACAAGATAGTACTGTTCATCAACTCAATTTTATCTGGTGTAAGAATAATAGGGTTGTAATAGTAGGGGATTTTAACTTTCCAAACATTGACTGGGATAGTGTTAAGGACTTGGATGGGGAGAAATTTGTTAAGAGTATTCAAGAAAACTTTTCAATCAATTTGTGGGATGGTCCTACTAGAAAAGGGGCAAGACTCAACTTCCTCTTGGGAAATAAGGCAAGGCAAGTGACTGAGGTGTTAGTGAGGGGAGCACTTTGAGACCAGTGACAATAATACTATTAATGTTAGGATAGTTATTGAAAAGGATAGGCCTGGTCCACAAGTTAAAGTTCTAAATTGGAGCAAGGCCAATTTTGACGATGTTAAACAGGAACTTTAAAACATTGATTGGGGGAGGCTGTTCACAGGGAATGGGATCTCTGGAAAGTGGGAGGCTCTCAAAAGCGAGGTAGTGACAGTTTAAGGACAGCATATTCATGTTAGAGTGAAGGGCAAGGCTAGCAGGAACAGAGAACACTGGATTACTAGAGATATTGTGGCACTGGTCAAGAAAAAGGAGGCATATGTCAGGTATATACAGCTGGGATCAAGTGAACTCCTTGAGGAGTAAAAGGGAGTGAAGGAGTAAACTTAAGAGGGAAATCAGGAGGGCAATAAATGGGACATGAGATAGCTTTGGCGAATAGGGTTAAGGAGAATCCAAAAAGAGATTCTACAAGTATATTAAGGGCAAAAGAGTAACTAGGGAGAGAATAGGGCCCCTTAAGTATCAACAAGGCTGTCTATGCGTGGAAACACAGGAGATGGGTGAGATACTAAACAAATATTTTGTGTCAGTATTCACCCTGGCAAAAGATACAGAAGCTGGGGAACTCGAGGAAGTAAATAATGATGTCTTGAAAAGAGTCCACATTACAGAGGAGGAGGTGCTGGAGGTCTTAAAATGCATAAAAATAGATTGTGATCAGAGACCTGATCAAGTGTGTGCTGGACATTGTGAGCAGCTGCAGAAGAATTGCTGTGCCCTAGCAGGGACATTTGTATCATCGATAGCCATGGGTGAGGTGTCAGAAGACTGGAGGGTGGCTAATGTTGTGCTATTATTTAAGAAAAGCTACAAGGAAAAGGGAACTGCAGAGGGTGGTGTAGAACAAGCTGCCAGAGGAAGTGTAAGTGGCTAGTACGATTACAACAGTTAAAAGACATTTGGACAGGTC